GTTTTTCCAGCATTTCTTTCTTTTCTCTCTCTCTCTCTCTCTCTCTCTCTCTCTCTCTCTCTCTCTCTCTTTTTTAAAATTTTTTTTATTTTGGTGGAACCATGGATTGAACTCAGGGCCTTGCACTTGCCAGGCGAGCGCTTATTCTACTGAGCCACCTCCCCGTCCCAGCATCCCCCTGAGCGCCGCAGGGTCTCCGGAGCTGTCAATCAGGCATCCATCTCAGCCGCCCCGCCCCCTCGGCAGTCCCCGGCCTCACTCGCTGAGGCCATCGGGCAGGGCAGGGCGCTGCAGCGCGCCTGAGGGTCTTTCCAGAGCACCTCCGGGGACCGCAGGAGAAACCGGGTCTCTGCCTCGAGAGCTGAGCACAGCGGGAGGTCGCAACGCCCTGTGGGCCTCTCCTGCGCACGCAGACCCTCCTGGAGGGAAAGCGCCCGACCTGTGGCACTCTGTCCCGGCACCGCGTCCTGCCTGCACGGCAAGCTCACGCGTCACACAGGTGGGGACAGGAAAGCCTCGAGTGGCCCACCTGCTTCCGCGTCCCCGCATTTGCGCGCGTAAGGTCTCTGTCCCACGGCACCCACCGGTGGAACGTCAAGCCATGGAGCCCGGCTTGGCGAGGAGCTTGCCAGCAAGACGCTTTCCTCGCCGGCCTTGCTCCTCTGTCCTGGCCTGCTTCCCTTCTGCCTCCAGGTGAAGAGAGCTGAGTTCTAGCTTCACACTCAAACAGGGAGGCTCCATGGTCCTGGGCAGCAGGGGAAGGCAGGTGGCCCCGCCGAGGGATGACGAAGCTGGCTCGGCGACACCGAGCGTCTGGAAGCCCCAGGGGCCGTCCAGGGACTGGGACTGCCTCTGCCTGCCCTCGCGCCTCTGTAGGGCCTTCCTCGCTCTCCCAAGTGCGAGCGCCTCATGCAAGTAGAGCTTGCTGAAGCTCTGTGACAGTGAGCAGCCAGCCAGGGAAGGGACGGCGGCCTGGCTCTGATACGAACTAAGGCTGAAATCAGGGGGAGCAGGTGAGGGCCACCGGGTCTCACAGGGGCACAGCTGGAGGGTCCCACGCATCACGCAGCCAGGTGGAACCTTGTGGACGTGGGGCTTTTGGTGTGGATGAGATGAGGCCGCGCAGCACGAAGAGGACCCAGATCTGACAACTGTGTCTTTACGAGCAAAGTGGTGGGGTGTGGCCCAGAGGCGCAGCTCTTCCTAGCACGTGCAGCGCCTCCGTGCCATCCCCACACTGAAGGAGACAAGACAGACAGGCAGGCAGGGGCAGGGACAGTGAGAAGAAACGAAGGCCCGGCCCAGAGCAACGCAGCCGCCAGACAAGGAGTGCTGAGCCACAGCAGCGGCAGCAGCGGGGAGAAGCTGCAGTTCCGGAGTGTGTGCTCCAGGCAACAGGATGCACCCTGCTGCTGAGTGTGCCGCGGTGACAGCGGCAGAGCAGTTGGCCTGCAGTCCAGGGCCCTGAGCCTTGCAACATGGGGCAAGGGACCCTGAAGGACGCGGCTGTTGCAAGCCCATTTCACAAGGCAGAACCCGGCCAGGGCATTGGCTCCTGTGTGATCCCAGATGGGTGGCAGCAGAGCCAGAACCATTTCTTCAAAGACAGATGAACAGAGGGCGGCTGGGGGTTTGCAGGAAGGGGTCTCTGGCACTCACTAAACCTTGGGTTGGGTCCCCCAGGCTCCACGGGGCTCATCCTGCCAGCTCCCAACGGCAAGGATGCTCTTGGGAAGAGGGAGGGCCAGGAGCCCCAGGATCCCGGGCCCTAGCCGGCTCCCGCTTGCTTTTCTCTCCCATGCCTTTCCAAGTCTGGTGGAAGTGGGACGAGCCATGGGTCTGTGCCCCACCCAGCAGGCACACGGTCGGTCGCACAGGGGGAAGGAAGGAGACAACAACCACAGCAGCTGCACCTGACAGCCGTGCCTGCTGACCCCACAGCAGGCCAGGGCCTGTGACCTGCAGGACTGGCCCTGCCGTCTGCCTCTGCAGGAAGATGCCAGACCTTATCGGCAAGAGGTCAAGATTTCTTGGATCACTGGGCCAGACGGCGCCCAGAGGGCTGAGGGTGCCATCAGAGGCAGCCAGGTGCTGTGCCCCACACCAGCCTCTTGCCCCTGGGGCTGCCTTGGCAGTCCTGGGCCTGGCCATTTCCCAGGCCTCTATTCAGGTTCCCCTTATGGCTTCCTCTCATGGAGCAAGGTCCATGCGGGAGCAGATGGTTGCTGCCCGCCAGAAGGCCTCTCCCTGCTAGCACACAGCCAGCTCTCCCACAGGGCAGGAAGCCGCAAAGAGCCAGCCCAGCCCCTCTGGCCGGGGCACTGCTGCGGGCAGCCCGGCCCAGCAGGACCAGGCGGGCATGCCATTCCGACAGAGCGTCTGGCAGATCACTGTCCTCCGCCACAATGTAGGGCCTGTGTCTCCTGCAGCTGCCCTAAGAAAACCCCCAAGCACAGTGAGAACTCTCCTTGCTTCTCCTGGAGTCTAAGTTGGCCTTTAGGACCAAAATGGGGGCGGGGGCCTGGTCCTTCGGGGTGCCAGGGGGAATCTGCTCCCTTAGCTTTCCAGCTTCCAGGCCTCTGGACCTTTCTCCATCTCCAAAGCATCTCACTCCAACCTTGTCTTCCTGCCTCACAGCTGACTCTGACCTCCTGCCTCCTGCCTCCGAGGACCCCTGTGAGGACACTGGGCCAGCCTGGCGGTCCAGAACCAGCCCCACTCCCTGGTCCTCAGTCACATCCACAAAGCCCGATCCTCCATGTCCACAGGCCAGGGCAAGGTCCAAAACCTCCTGCTGGGAAGCGAGGCCGCCCCTGCCACAGTGGCGCTGAAGCCTCAGCCCACAGTGCTCAGGGCAGGAGGTGGCAGAGCGGAGATGCCCATCTCTGCAGCCCAGGAGACCGAGAAGCTGAGAGGACAGAATGGTCCTGCACAAGCCAGGCTCAAGCCACACATGGGGCACTGCACCACGGCCCCCTGCACGGCTACGAGACACACCAAGGGAGAGACATCCTGGGAGTGGTGTGCTGGGGCGGGTGTCCACCAGGGAAGGGCTCCAGTAGGCCCCTCTGCAAAGGGATCGTAAAGTGTGAGTCTGCTGTCACCCAGCACTGGCAAGAACGGATGCTGGGGCTTCAGGGTATGCACATTTTGACAATCCATCTGCTTGGCAACCAGGGAGTGGTGGTTTAGCTGTGTGGACACTGGATGAGGCGGATTCGTGCCCTTGGTGGGACAGGGCTCCTGACTGTCAACCTGACGCCACTAAGATATCACCTGAGGAAGCAGCAGAGACACTTCTGGGTGTGTCTGGTGGGACGGGTGTGACCGAGGGGCCTAGATCTTGTCCCCGCCCCTTCTCCGGCAGCTCCTTCCCTTTCTCTCCACGCCCGGCCACCACGCCCTTCACACCCTTCCACCGTGAGGCTCCTGGAGCCCGCGATCGTGGACTGGGCCTGCTCAAGCTTCAGTCTCCTGCGTCTTGAGATGGGAAAGCTGACGGCACGGTCGAGAAGCATGCTGATTCCACTGCGCACTCAGAATGGTGAACAGCATAACTTAAAATGTAGGAACTGTTTATTTCTGGGGCTTTCTATATATTTTCAGTCCACAGCTGACCACAAGAAAGGGCAACCACGAAGGAGTTGGCGCCTCTCAGGTAGTGGCCACCTCTGCCGGCTCTCCGCGGAGCTGCCTCCAGCACCTGCAGCCCTGACCTGCCCCTCGCCCACCATCATGGCACGGAGCGCAAGGCAGAAACCAAACACAAACATCGGAAAGGAAGGACAGCCATGGCTGAGCCTCAGGACAACACAGGCACCACTTGCTTCCTTTTAAGTACGACTTCCTAATTTTCCCATAGGAAGCAAGTGTTATACCTATGGCATTAAAAACAACTGCCAAACCGAGTTTGTTCTTAAAATACCAGGTGAGTCCTGTACTCACACAGCCGCCGCCCGGCGCTGCTGGGGAACAGAAGCAGCGCAAGCGCAGACGTGGTGCCCGGGTGGGATCCCGCGCTCCGGCTGCTCCCCAGAGCGTCACGCTCGCTCCCACGCGCACCCTGGGTGCTGCGAGCATGGATGCTCACGCTGCCAACAAACCACCCCGCCACCTTCGCTCTTCTCCGTGGATCGAAGGCCACTGAGAATCAGGCCAAGCCTTACCCCACGAGAGGTCAGGAACCTTCCCAGAAGCTCTCTGGGCCACCAGAGCCGCACCAGGCAGAGTCGCCCAGGACGCAAGGTGCAGGCACTGAGGGCAGAACTTCTGGGACTGTGGGGGGCTGCGGGAAGCAAGGCTGTGGGTCTTCAGTCATTCAGAGCCTGACAAGGCCGCCAGGTGGCTGGGGATGCGTGGCCCTGGAGCGCCCCTGCTCCTGCCCTCCAGCTCTCACCCCAGCTGGCCCAGGCAGCCGCAGGCAAGCACTGCCTAGAGATGCCTTGAAGTCCACAGCAGCCCCTGGCCACTCGGGACCTGTTCTTTAGGGGCTGTGGCTCCTCTAAGCCCCAAATTCAGTGGCCAAACCCCACACCAGGCAGTTGGTGGCCCAAAGCACCAAGTCTTGTGTCAGCCCCTAGGCAGTGCCCGCAGCTGGTCTGCTTGGCTGGGGCTGCCTTGCAGGCAACTTCTGGCCTCCTCTGTGTCCCTTACAGCATCCAGGTGGCAGACACCCTTCCCTCACTCGATAGCCAGGCCACTCCTCATAACAACAGCACAGCCACCTTCTGTGTCCACCACGGTTCCCATCAAACACATCAGACACACACAGAACACTCGAGAGTAGCCTCCCTCCTGGAGGGGAGGCTGTGGGCCCCATGACCCTGCAGGGCAACTGTTCCTTGCCCCAACCCAACCCATGGGCACTTCTGAGGAACCCCAACATTCCATGGAGCCCAGATTGAGAAACACTTGCCTTGGTGTGGGGCGGTACAATTCGGAAGAGCCAGTCTCAGACACTGGCTGGATGGCCACAGAGCGCCCAGCTACCCCCAACCTACCTGGAGGCCGCAATCTCGGCCTTCTGCCTGGCGATTGTGGCAGCGCGCTCGGCGGCCTCCACAGCCCGGTCCACCTTCTCTCGGATCTTGCTGGCGCGCAGTGGGATGAGGTTCTTGCGCTTGCCGCTGACGAGGACGTTCTGCTTGTACTTGCCCTCCTCCTTGGTGCCGTCGGGGAAGGTCATGCAGCCGTAGCCATGCCGCCGGTTGCAGGCCCACTCGCCCTCGTACTTGAGCCCGTCGGAGCGCTGGCTCACCCCAAAGCCCGAGCGCTTGTCGTTCTTCCACTCGCCCACGTAGGTCTCGGTGGTGGTGGCGTCGATGTCGTCCTCGATGACGGCCAGCTCAGCCTCCGCCTCCCCCAGGCTGATGGTGGAGTGGATGTCGCTGGCCGTGGAGCTGATGGTGCTCATGCCAGCCTCACTGCGGAACGAGCTCTGCTTGCTACGCTGGCTGGCCAGGCTGCTCTTGGACTCCGACTTGCGCAGCTTCAGCCCGCTCAGCAGCGAGCGCCGGAACAGCCCCTTCTTCTTGCTCTTCAGGATCTCCGAGTCGCTGTGTGCCAGCAGCACAAAGCCGCCCCGAGACACGGCCGGGCTGCCGGCACCCGCTGGGGAGGCATCTGGGTGCAGCGCTGAGCCGTTGGTGTGCTCGCTGCGCAGGGAGTTGATGGACGTCCTCAAGGGCGAGCGGATGACCGCCGCCATGCCGTAGGGCACACTCTGCCGCACACCGTAGCCCTGGCGCATGCCGCCAACCCACTGGCCCTGGTACGTCCCTGAGGAGACAAAGGAGAGGGGGTGAGCCTGTGCCTGCCACACCTCCAGCTTGGTGGCACTCGGTAACCCAGGTGCCAGCCCAGAGTCCACATCACCCCAGCCCTTTCAAAGACTTTTCCAGCACTCGGGAGGCTGAGGCAGGAGGATCGATTGCTCTAAGTTCAAGGCCAGTCTGAACTATACGGGGATGCACTGTCACGAAAACACAAAACCCAAAGCAAAAGAAGCAACAAGGACAGGAAAAGAAGACCTTTCCACCCAGCCTCCCATGGCTGACTCCTTCCCTTGCAGGCAGGGTGAGAACAGGCACCTGGGTAGCCCTGGAGGCGCGGGTCAGCCCCAGCGTGGCACACGGTGTCCTGCCCTGCCGCCTGAGCCATCCGAGAAGAGTCCCAAGACCTCTCAGCAGGCAGGCGGGGAGGGATGGCATGGCAAGGGCTGGGGCGTGAGAACCAGAGCTCCACAACCCTCAGCAGGGAAGTCGGGCCACCTGCACCGCAAGCCCCTGGCCCTGCCATGTGTCTGGGAGCCGCAGCACAGCACCCCACATAGGAGCACCGACCGTTGTGAAGAGGACCGCGAGCGAGGGAGGGAGGGAGGCCAGATGCAGGCGCGGGCCACGTCCTGTACAGGCTGCAGCATCGCCGAGCCCAGAGACAGAGGAGAGGCGGGGCTGGGCCGGGAAGGGCCGGGGCGCCTGACGTGGACCAAGTTTCTGCTCTGGGTGCAGGACATGCGCTGCATGTGGACGGCAAGGACGGTGGGCACACTGAGAACGTACTTGGTGACTTGGTGCCACGAACTGCGCCCTTAGAAGGGGCTCGAGAGGCAGGCACGAGGGCCTGCGCCTACACGCGCCACTGCTCAGAGGCTGAGGCAGGAGGACTGCGTGCAGCAGTTACACATGGTGATCAAGAAATATGCTGAATGTTTCCGTAACTTAAAAACGTGTCACAGTAGGTGACACACTGCTGCGACCTTCCTCCACACCCCTTGGGACATACAGCCCCACTGCTGCTGCCACTCTGAAGCAGTGCTGGACTCTGCTCTGGTGTCATTACAGGGCATGATCAAGAACTTGGTGGGCGTGGCTGCGGAGCCAGGAGAAAGGTGCTCGCCAGCGCGTGACTGCATCCTTGCCCGCCTCGTGCGCCGGACCCGGCACCGTGCAGCTTCGGGCTGTTGAAATGACCACTTAGGAGAAATGTTCTGAGTCCATTCAGGACCTCGAGGCAGCCACAGCAGAGGCACTGAGGCCAGCAGAGAGGGCTCCAGAGCTAACGCAAGAAGCAGAGGGAATGACGGGCCACGTGTGCTCGCAGCCAGGGACGGGCTTGGAGGGGTTCATGGCGCTGTGTCTTTAAAAACTGTTTACAAATTTAAGCAGCATTTTTCAATCCTACTTCGTATACAGCACAATGAAATAAGGAGGAGCAGCCAGGCCAGACAGCTCGTTTCTTGCCCCCCATTCCCTCTCTGCTCCTGCTTCACTATGCACAACACCCCGCAGTCACCGTGACTGAAAGTTGCCTGGTCAGGCAGCCGGCGTGTGGCAGAGCTCTGCTGCTTCGGTCCTGGTCACCCGAGCCAAGGGGCAGCCCGATGGATGGGTGGACCTCTGTGAGGGTCCAGGGGTGGCGCAGGGCCTGGCCGCAGCTCTCGCAGCCCAAAGCAGCAGAAGCTGCAAACCAGAGCCCCGAGGCTGAAGCCCACACAGGCTTTCCTTGTCCTGCACGATCTTGCCACCAAAAACTGCAGTTGTCAAAATGAGAGGTTTCACATAAAAGTTCTGATCTCTTGTGTCTCCTAAGAAGTCAGAGATCTGACAACCAACCCCAGGTCTCTCTTCTTAGAGGCAAAAGAGCCTAGAGCCCGGCAGTAGCAGGGCATGTGGCCTCTGCCACTCTGGCACAGCCCAGCCACTGTCACATGCCTCACGGTGGGGACAAAACCTAAAAGTGTGGATCACAGAGCTTTGCACCCCAGCAATCCATTAGCTTTGCCACCCACGACCCCCCACTTGGGAATTCGCCACCAAAGATGGGGGGCAGGGCGTTTGTGCTCTGGACTTTGGGAAGGTACCCCCTCAGTGGGGCGAGGGGGTGTGCGGCCTGGGCACAGCCTCTTGGGAGACTCCTGGCCAGCCTCTCAGCCCCTGTGGTACAGAGGTGAAGGCTGGAGGCAGCAGTGGCGTGGCTCTAGACCAGCGCAAGGCTGGCACATGATTCAGGGTGCCCCTCACTGCCCTGCCGCTCTGGGCTGTGGCCAAGGAGAAGGTCCCAGTGGTTCTGGGGGCAGATGGCAGCAGAGCAAGGTCACAGCAGGGAGGTCATGCTGGCCAGACCCTAATCAACCTGGGATGCTCCCAAAACAAACATCCCTGGAGATGCAGGGCACACACTGTGCAGGTACCGCAGCCCAAGGCCCACCTCTAACCACCAAGTGGGGACCCCCGAGGACCTGTGATGTTCATGGGCCTCAGCCCAGGTGACCCCAGCCATGGCACGGCTTGTGCCTCAGGGATGCAGAGGACTCAGAGTGGAGCTTCCAGAACCTTTTCCCATCAGGCCCAGAACCGTGTCCCGCTCCTCTCCACATACTCGCGGCTGCCTCGCCACCTTCCACACGAGAGCCTCGATCCGACTGCAGGTTCTTCCCAGCCACAGCTCAGTCTGAGGTTCTCACTTCCTTATTTTACTTTTAATGCTGGGGATTGAATCCAGGGCTGTGTGCACATCAAGCCCACAGCTGTGCCTTAAACTCTTGGCCTCTCCTTTCCAACCTTTGATAGCTGGGATTGACACACACAATCTTCAGCCTCACCCTCTGGGAAGTCCTAGGTTGGAAGCGCTTGCTCCTGTGGAAAGTGTTCACAGTTACTGGTAAACCATATCCACAAAAGACTCCTAGAGTGACCACGCCACCCCAGTGGTCACCAATACTACCTGGGTACGTGGAAAGTTCTTCTTAGCTGGGCTGGGAAGCTGAGGTCTCCCGGGGTTTGGAAGGGCTGACTTGCACTGGGGTCTGGAGACTCCACCACAGCTGGAGAGGTGAGCCACCACGGGGGGCCCTGACCCACACCCTGGAGTCCAGCACAGACACCACAGGGGGCCTGCACGAGCCAACCCGCAGCTCCTTGGGTTTGAATCTCAGCCCGTGGAACTGGGAGGAGGCTGCCAGTTCCAACTGTGGAATTTCATTTGGGCCACGCTTGGACATAAACAGAGAATTCTCAACCCCTAGTCGTGTGACCACATAGAAAGAAGACAGAACAAACCGAGGAGAAAGGTAAAAAGCCAGATTGCTGAGAACATGTAAATAATGAACCAGGCACAGGGGTACACACCTGCTATCCCAGCTCCTTGGGAGGCTGAGGCAGGCAGGTCAAAAGCTGGAGTCCAGCCGGGACCCTCAGTGAGATTCTGTCTCAAATTAAAAAATACAAAAGGGCCTCTTGCTGCAGCAAGGCGAGTGGGAGCACAGGAGCTCGGGCTCGGAGCGAAACACTTCAGATTGTTTTAAGAAAATGGCAGACAAACCAGACGTGGGGGAAATCGCCAGCTTCGATAAGGCCAAGCTGAAGAAGACGGAGACGCAGGAGAAGAACACCCTGCCGACCAAAGAGACCACTGAGCAGCAAAAGTGGAGTGGGATTTCCTAAGAGCCCAGACAATTCCCCGCCCCCGTCATCTCCGAGACCCCCCAGTCATGATGTGGAGGAAGAGCCACTTGAAGATGGACACGAGCCACAAGCTGCGCTGTGAACCCGGGCACTCCGCGCCGATGCCACCGGCCCGTGGGTCTCTGAGGGGACCCCCCCAATCGGACTGCCAAATTCTCCGGTTTGCCCTGGGATATTATAGAAAATTATTTGTATGTTAAATGAAAATAAAACACATCTCGTGGCAAATAAATAAATAAATAAATAAGAAATAAAATAAAAAATACAAAAGGCTGGGGGTGCAGCTCAGTGGTACAGGGTCCTGGGTTCCATTTCCAGATATATAGGGATTTACACACATTCATATGTGTATTTATATATTACATAATGTTATACATAATTATGAGCTATTATACATAAATACATACTGTATATAAAATCTACATACCTATGACATAATGCAAAATACATTCATAACTGTATATATACTGTAAATGTACACATGTACCCACATATTTTAAAATAATTAGTAAAAAGGAGAAAGCCCCTCCTCTCCAGCAAGACGCAGGGAGAAAAGAAACAGAACCAGGGAACCCCTGGAGGGGGTGCACAGGGAACACAGCCCAGCGGGCCACTGGAGGGCCCAGGCCTGCGGTCAGCAGAAGGAACAGAGCCACACACGGACAAGCGGAGCTACGGGCCACCAGGCATTTCGAGGTGGCCCAACAAGGAGAGGGGACCTTGACACAAATGAATGGGAAAGAGAATTTGGTACAATCATGAAAAATATAGGTGGAAGAAGAAGTGATCAGAAAAACAGAATCTAAATCCCAGGAGGTAGGATGCTGCATTCCCCAAGTGAGAATGAAATGCAGTTTTTTAAAAAGAAAAAGATGGTTGGGGAGATAGCTCGGCAGTCTAAGGGCCTGCCTGGCAAGCACAAGGACCCAGGTGCCATCCTGGTATGGTATGCCGTGCCAGCCCCAAACAGGGCATGGTGGTGCACGCCTGTAATCCCAGCACTGGAGAAGCTGACACGGAAGGATCACTATAAGTCTGAACTGTGTAGCAAGACTCTGTATTAAAAGAATTTTTTTAAAAAAGAAAGAAACTTTCGGGGGCCGGGGAGATAGCTCAGTGGCATAAGTGCCTGCCAGACAAGTGCAAGGTCATGTGTTCAATTCCTGATAACCAAAAAATAAAAATACAAAAAGAAAATTTTTCAGAAACTAAAACATAAAGTGATAGTGAAAGCAGACAAAAAGTCTCGTCCAGGAGCCCTATGTCCAGCGATCTGAGGGTGCCCAGAGGCAAAGCAGGAACACCCCCAGCACC